CATTTTCTATGGCATGGTATAAAATAGTTATGCAACACTCTCTCGTGGTATACCATAGAACATCCCACTTGTCGCTTGTATTTTCTTGGTGACTACATGTACATACTCACCTAAAGACTTGTGTGTATACCAAGAAAATACATGTGACAAGGGATGTATACCACTTGAAAAGCATTGCATAACTAACTAGTATATAACTAATGCATCATACCTGATGTTTCCCAGGGACCTTGAAACTTTTAAAGGAAGACAAATAACCTCTTCCTGAAAAATAGGCATCATTTCAGGTATTAAACTTGGTTTTGATTTTGTTTTTCACTATAATAAACCACAGCCACATGTACTGACCACATTTTGAGAGTGAGGGCATGTTGACCTTTTATTTAAATTGACAACACAGTCAGCGTTGAAAATAACCATTCTGATAAGCTCCCTGCAGTGGACCTACAGCTGCGATAGAACTTTCACAAAAATAACCTTTTACAAGTAACCAATTTGCATATTAAATATATTTTTTTCATAATTTTCAGTTATTGGAAAGCTGCTTACAAATGCATGAAAGTGTTTAAACCACTGTCCCAAACACTTGCCAAAAGTCAATGTATTATTTACCAGGAAATTTGTTAGAAACCAGTGCAATACATAATATAATGTTATGGTTGAGTTACTGGTCACCCGCATCCCCCAGATCAACACTCTTTGGAAGATTGCTTCATTTTAGTTTCAAAAAAAGTTGCATAAAAACCATTCATCATGAGTAATACTCCAGGCTTAAGTTACTCGTGAGAAAAACTTCTTGGTGACACCTACTGTACATGTACATGCATTTTCACAAAATGGGGTGAATAGACCTTTCCCCCATTCCAACAAACAATAGTGCCGAGTCGAGGTCAGGGTGACAAAAATACAGTAAATGTATGAAAATGTCCACCCCAACCTCACTCTGGTGCTATTGTTCATACGTAATGAAGTGGAATGCGGGTAAGGTCTATTCAGCTTTAGATTCAGCTAAAAATAGTAACAAACCCTGCAGACAGGAACAATTTCCACAGAGAAAGTGTACTTGTAGTTGTAAGTGTTGTTGTGCACATCATGAGAGATCAGCTTCTCAGATGACTTATACCTGAAACGAAAAAGGAAATAAGACTGTTTTCAGTGACTGTTATTTGATCGCAAGATTCACAATAAATGTACTGTACAATACAAATGTAGGTGTGTTATATCTTAAACATTCATAATTTTGTTACTGCTGAACTTCTCCAAATGGAGACTCGTATAATAAAAGTAAAGCATCTTCAATGCTGTAGTCCAAGACAAATTATGAGGAGCCCAAAGGTTCCTAGCCATGAAATTCTGGGTGCCCAGCAATTAAACTTATAGAAAAAAGTTAGTTTTCCAGTTGCCTAAAGGCAAAAGTTAGTCGCCCAAAGGCAAAAGTTAGTTGGCTGTAGTACCCAGGCGTTTCTAGAGCACAGCCCTTCCTCTTGCATTACTGGTTTACATACATGTATAGCTTTGGGCACTTCAACTCTCATTTCCGTAGCAGAAGTGTTAATACCTCCCCCAGATGGGATGTTAGTTCATCGCAGGTTGTTCTGTTGTGTTCTGGACATCATTATTTGCATAATTTGTACATACAGTGTAACTACTGCATGTACAGTCTAAATTGTATCCCACAAATGAATCACAATTTACCTGCAAGGCACAACAGACTGCAGAAACTCCACAAACTTACGTGCATCAGCTCTGGATGCATAGAAAAAGTCCACGCCATCTAATTTGTAAACATAATATATTTAGAGAGTTAATGGATGTTTAAATACTTGACATAACACAGATGATACATGCATGTACATTGTATATGATACAAACTATTATTTTTACTTGCCAATACAAGTAATTTTTGCCTTTATCGTGGTCAAATTGTTTCAAACCTCTATAATGTTCTATAATGTTCTGGATACCCGTACATGTACTTTTACACGCACATTCTATATTATTTTACCCTAAGCAGCCATTTCTTTCAATAAGCCCGTGAGAATGCTCCTCTCCAACCCCTTCCACCTCAACACTAACTCACCCTGCTTCACTCTTGTGACCTCACACACAAAAACGTAATCTAACAGGTATCTATTTGAATGGCAAAAACTGTTTGATTGCTGTTTGTCATCCATTCAAGACCAATAGGATGCCATTCAAATGGCTGTGGTTATCCGTTCAGAAAAAAAAACTAAAAGGTAAACAAAAAATAAATTCATGATTACTAAATTTAAAATACAGCTTACCTGATTCTTGCTTAACTTTGACAGTTTTCTGATGTGCATTGTGTTTTAAAATCAGCTGTTCCAGGTAAAAGAATGTCTTCTTGTGGGATGTCTGAGGACAAAAATTGTGCATTATACTGTAAGACACGACTACTGTACAGGCACGGGCATGTACTGCATGCATGTTTACACAGTCTTGTTCTTCCTTTCTAAATTCTCAAACAGTGACTGCCAAGTGAGCCAAGTCCTTCAACTGAAATCCACATTATTTTTGAGCCACGTACAGTTGAATATCCTTAATAACAGACAACAAAGGAATGGGGCTGAGCAGCTGTGTGATAAGAGGGACAAAGCGAAGTGCTTGTAATTCACAAACTATGGTCTGTAATGTCATGGGGATGTCTGCAATAATTAACAAAGAGGTTTGCCTGTACTTTGCCTGACCAGCTGATTAAATTTACATGTATGGTGCCTTTCAATAAATGCAAACCCTGCTCAATCAACAGTTACATACTTTACCAACTACTTGTATCCATCATCCCAGGGGTGAGGGGAGGGGGAGTGGTTTGCTCTTCAGAAGCAGAAGTTCACTAAAGGTTTGTCACGTCTGTAGATTTTGATCTATTTTATGCCATTGTAAATGTAAACACTTTACATGACTAACAGAACTACAAGGACAATGGCATCAGTGAATGGTGTAGCAACATTCAGTTGAATCGTGTATTAATTTATCCAGTACAAAATAAAGTCAGTGTTCCAGATAAGTGAATGGGGCGCAGGTCAGAAACCCGACAAGGTCGGCTACATGACCTGACAAATAATAGAAAATTTAAAATGATTTGGTGCGAGCAGTGGAAATTGACCTGTAGAAATTCTTTATGGACACCATGCCTTGAAAACTTATCTGGAACCCTGAAAGTACAATTTGAAAACAAAAGCCTGTTTCACAGTCCACCATAATTACAGCAATCAAGTTTTTTTCATGTTGGCACAGATATATGATTGACAAATTTTGTACCTTTTGTCTGACTTGTACAACTGCCTTCCAGTAATCCTGAGCAGCTTGACGATGGCAAGCATCGCACATCTGATTCTGAACAACAAATTCTACCACAAACACCTGCTGTAATATTGTGGAATTTACCACCTAAGATAGACATGAAATATACCCCATATGAGATAAATAAAGCATATTAAAACTACAATATTAAGTCACTCAATTATAAATTATTATGAATTATTATTTACCTGCCTGTCATGAACAATTACATGTACCAACTTAAGCGAGTTAGCCAATATTTGATGGAAACATAAACACATTAAATCTAATTTTCTGTATGATATAAAACTGTTAAAATCTATTTTTTTGATATTTTGCTCCACACTGTACAATTGTGTTAACATGACTCTTGTTTGCCATAGAATGACACCTTCAAAAAGTATATACACATATATTGTACATACTAAACTCTACAGTAAAAGAGTTCACTGTTTAATTTAAAGTAGCTGAACTTTTATTGTTAAATGTTGATTTATATCTTCATTTAATTTATTTATTCCCCCAATGTACTTGTGCCTAAAGTAAATGTACCCACATGTATGTGTTTGTTGTTGAGAAATATTAAAACCATTGATCAAAAAAACGTGTTTGGGTTTCGTTTCGTTATTTCCTTGTTTTTTTTTTTTCTTTTTTTAATTATAGATGTGGTTTTTGTTTGAACAATGCTGTGTTTTTTTGTTTGTTTGTTTTCTAAATCACTTTTTTGTTTCTCAAAGTAAAAAGTCAAAGAATAAAATAAGAATTCGTAAACTCCAAAAAAGAGTAATTTTTCACCGGCTGAGTGAAATGAAATACGTGAAAAATGTTTTTCTCACACACCACTGAGGCCTGGGTATAGGGTCATGTGACCTATATGGTGTTGTTTTAGTTGCGTCCGCCATTGCTGACTTTCCCACCCACCCACCCAAAGATTTTAAGTAAGCCAGTATAATGTACAAGCCTTGAACTTTTTTGTTATTTCCAATCTTGTGTAATGCTACTGTAACAGTACTTGTATTAGCTTTGATTTTTCACTAAAGGTCAGGCAGCAGCAGTCAGCTTGACATGGCTACCAGTGGTGTGTGAGAAATATAATTTCTTATCATAATATAAATACCTACAAGTACATGAAGTTGTAAGACTACAAAAGAGACAATCAAAAGCCTGTTAGAGGTCACATTTTACAGTACATCCACCTCATGATACATAGTCAAGTTTACACAAACCTCTTTCTGAATAGTCAATTTTACTTTGATTCTTTTTGAATGAGGCTCTGTCCACACAAACCCAGCATCAACCAAGCGAACCTAAAAGGAGACGTGAGCTTAGATCTTGCCTATTGCATCATAAAAAGTTCTGACTTTCACAAACCATTCTAAACTGGCCAGCAACATGCAGAAGCCACCATCAAAACAGGCACACCATTAGCACTCTGGACTATGGACCAAGTGGTGCAGGTTTCAGCCGAGCCCTATAATGTTTTCTAAATGGGTGTCTATAAATGGATGCTAGTGAATTCAATGCTGGGGAGTGGGGGGAGGTGCAGGGGGGGGGGGAGTATCCCAATCAGGGGGAGTAGAAATAGCAAGCCTGATGGGCCACCAGGCTAGAACACAGACTTTACCTTTATCTGAAGATTTACATGTACATGTAGGTTAACCAATTTTATTAGTAAAACAGTATGCAAGCCTTTCTGCAGAACAATATGCTTTGACCACTGCAGTACATGTACCTTGTTCAATCCTTTTAGCTTCTTTAAACAAAGTGACAAAAGCTCTCTGGATTCTAATGCGCATGCTAACCATAAGCTTGGTGGCTGAAGATACCTGGAGACAAAAAAGAAAAATCCATTCACCAAAGTGTCATAAACTTGGCAAAATAGTTATGGTTGACACCATTCTAGCATTAGCTCTTTCCAGTCAGAAGCATATATGTACATATGTACATGCATAGAACTGTGGTTTATGCTTTTGACAAAGACTAGACAGTATTAGTATCACCCAACTAGTGGACTAATGCAAATCCTACATTTTGATTGGCTACGCTACTAGGGGACTATTACTAATGGTCCTCGAGTAGCGAAATTGGCACCATCGAGCGTGACGTTTTCTTTCGTTTTATTCCCAAATAAATATTTCTTCAACTTGCATTTGCTAACTTTATTATTTTCCTTTTCTGTCCGACTAGTTGGGTGATACTAAAACAATTAGACCCTTTGCCCTCAAGGGCCACGGGTCAATAGCCCTTTCGGCTTTGCCTCATGGGCTATTGACCCATAGCCCTTGCGGGCTACGGGTCTAATTGTTAATTAGTTCAGATTTTGAGGGATTTTGTTTTTCTGATAGCCAAGGCCACTTTGGCTGATGAAAAACAGCTATTTCCTAAATTGTTGTTGTTGCTATTTTATTTCCAGTACTAGGCCAAACTTGGCATAGTCACACACAAATGTAGTCAATTACCACAGCAAATTTACCATGAAGATGAAAACCATGGGAATGACCAAAGGTAGATGGATACATGTATCTAGATTTAATGTATCATATGCCAACAGTTTTCTTTGTTTTTTACTTTTTTTTTCAGAGTTTCAGTCCCAGATATTGTGAGCTGTAGTGAGGCATGCAAAAAAACATACTGTACCAAAACCCTACAGTGCAAAATTCTGGCTAACTGAAAACTGTGTTGGTTAGGAAAATCAGCATGTCCACAACCAATAGGTCATTGTATTGTAAGACCATCTACTCCCCTGACTCTTAATTCAGGAACATGCAACAATCTCTACATGTAAGCTTAATGTACATATACATGTACAGTAAAAAATTTAAGAGTTTTGAGTAAGTTCATGGCCATAACAAAGTAAGCTTATTTCAGTGTATGAAAATATTCTATCCATCATTGTTACAAGTAAAATAGTAGAACCGACTGTCAGTCTTACCTTTCACACGATTTGCAAAAGTATAAATTACTTTGTTTGGGAATTCCCTCGGTGATATCAACTTGAGAACGGAGACAACCGACGCACATGTTGGATGGGTTCGGAGTGGTCAATACACCACACTGACAACACAGACTAAAAACATGAACCAAACAACGCGCTTACAGAGAACACCAGCTTACATTTCGTTCATTCACTAGTAAACAAGGCAAATTAGACGGAGATCCGTCGAAATAATGTGCTTATTTACCTTTGTTGTGCTTGTGAAGACGAAATCGCTTCCATATACTCCATGTTGGATTGGTGCTTGATAGGAGTTGTGGGTAGGATTGCACAATGCAGCGTCATTAAGCCAAACAGAGACCAGGCCCTGGAGCCGAGTTTAACTACCAAGTGACGTCACTTGTAGCATATATGTCAAGAATCTCTCTTGTTTTTACTTTATTTATTCTTCATACTGTTGTGATCTAGTAGTTTTCCACCTCATAATGTCTACCCAGTCTTGCCAGAAAAAAAAAAAAAGCACATAATAGACATCGGAAAGAGCCGAAGCGCTTACTTGTGTCTCTTGTCTTCTGATACTCTGTAAAATGAGTCTGCCCGACAAGAACAGTTTATTATTGTATGCCCATTGAGGACCTTGAGTGAGTACAAGATTTATAATTGACTGGAATGTCAAGGGGTTTTCTGGACTTTTCTTTGAGGCTTGGCACTCTGCGAGAGATTTCAATACGGACAAAGAACATATCGACATTCCAGCCATTTAGAAACATCTTACGTAATTCGTTTGTCTCGTGCTGCTGTGAGCGTAGCACGCGCAAAGTGTGAGCCTTAACAGTAATCAGACTTAGAGAAGTCGGTCTTTCGCTTTACAGTCCGTCGTGCCCGTCGCGAGGAAAAAATGGCCGCGCGAAATCCTGGGGGCGAGAGGCGGCCATTTAACAAATTGACGTCAGGTTTTTTATGCGTCTGTCCTCTTATTGATGATAAATTGCGTCATAACATTGACAGAAGCATAAAAAACTGACGTCAATTTGTTTTTTCACAATAACTAGACCCCAAAATGGTCAAATGCTGGGAATAAATGATGGGAAAAGACGTCGTCAACTTGCCGTAAACAAAGATAAGTGAATTTTATCAACTTGATGCGAACATTGTCAATAGCTTTTCTCGCTTTTTGATTGGCTATTAAAAAAGTCCATAAAATCTCATTGGTTAAAAAGTTGACAGTTTAACAGCTGAAAGTTGAACTTGAAAGCTTGCATAAATTAAAATTTTATCCGTCTGTACTCTTATTGCTGATAAAAATGAGCCAATCTGCGCGCGAGAAATTAGGCAGTTATTGAAAAGTTTTTCTTCGAGGTATTCTTTTACGTTCGCGTCACGCACGACGGACTAAGCGAAAGAGGGACCACAAGTAGCCTAAAGACTTTCGACAGAAACGTCATTTTTAAATAAAGTTATCGTAAATGTTGTATTTGACGTCATAAAAAGTCAGAGTCAAACTTCTAACATTTTACTTAGTGCGTACTGTTTATGTAACAAGCGCGTGATTATCCCTCCATTCAATTCTCGTATGCCGCATTCTGACGGCGCGCGCTTTAGAACCAAAACGACACAAAGCATAAACAATCTTTAACGAACTCGAACGGTCAAAGATCAAATCTCCAGCAACACAAATACAACGTACAACAATCTGAATCTAAAAAAGACCTCATTTTGCAAAGCAATCGTACAAAACGTTGGCTACTGGGAGAGTGATTTTCCTTAATTTTTCAATCAAGAGTGAGCAATTAAGAGGAAATTCTGAAATAATGAACCTCAGAATTTTTGAAGAACGCGCAACTAGATCAAAGTCTCCCAAACGGTACAGTTTGAACAGGAAAATCAAGTGGAAAGAAAGGCAAGTCTCGTCAGTAAACTGATAATTAACGGTCAGCAATTATTTCAACTTGAAAGTACGTGTAGTTTTAGATAAGCACGGGTTTTCTCCAGATATTCAAACTCCTTTAAAATTGTTTTCAATATTTTCTGAGAATGATAACTTAAAGTAGCGTAAAGTTCCGAAGGTTACAACCCTTTCAGTTCCGGATGTAACAGTTCTTTCCTATCGATAATTTCGAAGTAAAGAGTGGTCGCTATACTTTCGGATGTACAACTAAAACTTGCGCATTGCAAATATTACGCATTGCAGATGTTGCGCATTACGCGTTGCACATGTTGGCCGATTCAGCTTAATTAAGGCTATGTTTTGATGAAGCATTACAAGGAATGTAAGACGGTTGCTTTTATTCATAGAGTAGTGAAAAATGATAAAACTTTTGGAAGAGCATTTAATTATTATCACCGTTAAAGCTTCATACTATCACTGGAAGGAGAACGATTACTTGATTCTATACTAGTATATTTGGGTGCGCAGCTTTTTGTTTTGAATTTTTACATATTGCCATATTGAATTTTCTTCTTTTAATTTTCATTAATATCGTGAACTATTAATTTAACGGAAACTATGTTTGGGTTAATTTTCTAATTAATGTACTCTGCTCTAATCCAAAAGAAAACAATTCACTGACTTCATTGAAGTCGAAAAGTCGCCGTCTTCGCCTTTCCCCTTCCGTGAGACGGCAGAAAACGGCAGATGTGGAAAAGAATTGGCATCTTATGAAATGTGGAAGACAGACTGCAAAGGAACGGAAAATTTACAGGTATCATCGGCCTTAGAAGTCGCAATTGGTCAGGATCATAGAGTTTGTAAGTAGTGGTGATAAACGCTCGAATCATGAAAATTCATTCACTATATGGACTTGTTGTGTAGTTTGAAAAAGTTTCTCCCAAGAGGGATGGGATATTCTTTAAATGCTGCCTTCTCTATCTATTCTGAACCAAAGTGAGTTATTCCGGCTATTAATCCATTTTCAGACCAGGCTTTTAAAATTTATAGTCATCTTGAAACCCGTTTGTGCATAAACTATGTCCCGTTACTCTGCCTGCATCGTTCGTATCCCGAATGTTTACGTTATATGCGTTTTTGATTAGTTTTCCTTTCCTGATAGACACGTTTACGTAAATTCGATCTTTATGAAGGTTCCTTACAGACGGCAAAAAAGTTTTTTTTTTTTTTTTTTTTGCGGCCAGAAGGTAAACCAATGACCAGTTAAAGACCAGTAAACCTCAATCTTGAAGCAAATTTCAAGCCAAAAGAACTCAAAACCTCGCTTTATTTGCAGCGTCATTAATTATGTCGAAAGATGATGTGGTTGATTATTTTCTTTGGGTCGCTTTAGACCAGGCTTGCACATAGTTGTAAGCTGGCCAATCGGGAAAAGTTACCAAGGAGATTCAAAATGACCTCAATCCAATTTGTAGGGAGGTGCGGTGGGTTAATGGTTGGTGTACTGTCCATGAATCCGTAACGATCGGTTTGGATACACTTTATTCTCACAGTGCTCGTTTCTCAATGTTACGGAATCCGGGATAAGTTCTATACTGGTGTGGATCACTTGGCCCGACGCAGACTTTCCCACTGGGGGGCAACTCCCATAAAAAAAAAAGACCATTGAGCTCGACGGAAATTTTGAAATGAATCCCTAAGAGGTACTGATATCGTGTTTTTTTGGGTGTGGCTTGAAATTTTTTTCACCCCTAAGAGATACCAGTTCTAAAACAACGCCTCATCTCCTGTCATATTTTGTTGTCAAAATACCCTAAAAGGTACCGCAAAAGCTTCCGCTGTGGACCATCTGAGGCTGAACGCCCTGAGAAGTATGACGAGCTCCCCCATCTTTTTCACATAGGAGTTCCCTTCCAAGGGGGAAGTTACCAAGCTGACAAATCATGCTTTCGTCTGCCGTGTCTCGCGACGAGATACGGCACCCAGTTACAGTGTACGTTCCATTCACACCGTTCCATTTGCAGTGATCGTCTTCGGTAGCCCAAGCTTTATTCTAGGAAGATCTGAGATCCTTGTAAGAATAAGGCTGGGTAAAACCAAAGTTATAGGTCTCTGCATAACTTATGCTTACATTGGATCATAGTTTGGCCTTTGATCCGTAACAACAGAAGGTCACACGACGCTAGCGATCGCTAATTGGGAAGAGAGACTGGCAATTTGATTTTGTTTTCTACAGGTTTAAGTTCTCCAGTCACAGAGATGAAGACGCCTGGACTAATTTATACGCCCAGTGACATTACATTACAAAACTCTGTTCCAGTTTCTCTGCAGTCGGGCGTAAACACAAGCCCCATAGTGCCTTGCAGCTCTACTGACTTTAGAATCATTGCCAGGCCGGTCAAAAGGAAACCTCAAAACCAATTTTACGGTCAAGCAGTAGATCCAAGTTGTAACGCTAGCCATACTCAGCATTATGGAAATTTTCAAGGCATGCAGGGTATGCAGACTGCCAATCTTTTACACAATGGAACTGGCGTAATAAACACGACTTATTCATCTATGCAATGGAACAGTCTTCAAGAAAGCTCTTTCGCGCAGACTTACATGACGCCGATTCAATGTACAGGGTTCCCGCTCAATCCAATCAGTAGACAAAGAAACGGCGAGGCTTACAACGCATTTACGGCTTACGGGAATCCATTTGGAGTTTTCTGGGGTCGACAGAATTAGTTTCAGCACTAGAGGCTCTAAAGAAAGAACTGACTTCTTAAACAGATGCCTGACCTACTGGAAAGCCTGCTAAAACACATTCTCCTAACTTTACTAGCCAGGTTCCAAAAGTGGCCGTGTTATTTTGGGCTCCCTGGATACGTCCATAATTCTCATAGGTTTACTAACATTTAAAAGTAAGCCCTACAACTACACTCATTTTTTTTTTTCTTTTTATTTTTTTTTATAAAAATCTAAGAAATCAAATTCTTAAAAAGAAAACCTAAAGAGTTAAGATCCAAAGTGACAAATGAAAGTCTTATCTCTGGATGCGTCAATTTTACTTTAATTATTATGTTTTTTGTTACTATTATTATCTCCTTATTTACCCTCTCAAAAAATGCTTTATTCATATACATGTATTCGCAAAATTTCTGTTTATATGACCCTGTTGTTTTATTTTTTCAGTAATATAAAAGCGAAGAAGAAGAATTAAACAGCAAACTACAACAAAAATCCTCTCAGTTTAATAAGGCTTAAAAGTTAAGTGTACAAAAAACAAACATGATGAAAAAACAAAACAAATAAACACTGTAACTATCAGTCGTCTTATACTTCTTTCGCAATTCTGAAAATATACTTCTTAGAAAAACAAGCAAGTGAAACAATTAATTCTATTACTAGAGTGGTTTCAAGTACACTGCACTAAACTGCTTTTATTTCCTTCTCTTCTATGTACTTAGTCTAGTAATATAATTGGCTGTAATTGATTACTCTGTCCAATGATTTTCCACAACGTCTTGAAAGTTACCAGTTGAACATTTGTGAACCAAATTAACACATTTTTGACCTTTAGCTTCGTGCTTCTAGTTTTTCATCGGAAAACCAGTGTTCTTGGCTTGACATACCATGCTAGTCACTCAGTACCAACCCTACAATAACAACCCTAAAAACCAAACGTTCATGGAACGCCATTATGTCCCTCCGTGCAACAACAGTCTTTAGCTGTATTCCACACTTTTCATGAATTCGCTCATCTTTGCCTTCTTTTCGCTTAAGCCGCCGCAATCTTTCTTCCATCCTTTCATCGAAAGCCCAACATGACCCTTGTGTACAACCGCCTTTGGCAATTTAATCACTTTACCCATACTGCGAACATTCAGTCCATCCCTCCATCGAATGCCCGTCACCACCCTTGTACAACCTTCTTTGGCTATTTATCCACTTTCCCATGCTCCTCAAACTTTCTTCCATCCCTCCATCGAAAGCCCAACATGACCCTTGTGTACAACCTTCTTTGGCAATTTAATCTCTGTATCCATGTTAAAAACATTCAGTCCATCCCTCCATCGAATGCCCATCACGACCCTTGTACCACCTTCCCTGGCTACAACTCTTTCCACTCCTAACCTTCAGCAACTGTCCATCATCAAACTTTTCTCATTTTTTTTTTCTGTTCACCTGCCATGCTCTAAAGCCACTTCGTTACCATAGCACACGTATTCAAAGGTCTTGGTTAGTTCTTGAAAATCCTTGTTCGCTTCGATTCTCTCCTGGTAACAATGTTCTTTCTTTTTTGTCAATTGCGTGTTTTCTTGCAAACCACATCAGTCTTTCATCGTTAACAAAAAGTTCCGCCTTTTTTCTGGTAACATTCACTTGTATTAATTTGCAGCTTAGTTATAAAAAAAAAAAAAAAA